CACATCCGTAGGCTATGACTGAGGGATCTTGTTTGTTTATTTGTTTAAATACCCTGCAAATGTTGCACATCGGTGGCCGCCAGCTGATTCTATTGACCCTCTCAATAAAGCACCTGAACGAGCAAGGTATCTGATTTCTTGAATATACGCAAGTCAATACTCGAGCTCACCTCCTAGACTAAGTGGCCTTTGAACATTAATTTTCTTTTGGACAATTGGCCACTACAACAGCTGTATCACTAAATGTGCAGCTAATGCTATGCTCTATTGACATGTATTGGTGTTTATGTATTCCACGTATACATTGTTGATGAGTTACACTGTTCACTCCTCCTTCAAATAAACGATGTAACATTCAAAATATTATATATGCCCATTTTAACGAAAGTGGGCGTTTCTAAAATAAAGAATAACATACAAAATGTAAATTATTTCCAAGCAGCAATTTGTAGATTGGCCATAATTAGTTTTTTTAACCATTTGTGAGTCTGCTTGTGCACCTGACTGTAAATCCATCCAAGAGACTGAACTGAACTGAGTAATTTGATATCACTTCAGATTTTAAAACCACACCTTCTCTGGTTGCTTACAGGAAAACATCTCAAGGGTAAAACTCAATAATCAAAAGAATGTGTGCCAAGTGTTGCTTGTTGATGTTGTTGTTGTTGACGCATAAATGAACTGAGAAATGCAACAACAAATCAGTCAGTCCTTGAATAACTCAAACCTGACTGAATGTTGAAATAGTTCCCCTACATGTTTCCATTTCCTCCACATGTTATTGTATTTCCATGTAGATTGGCAATGCATCTCAGAACAAATGCAAGCCAAACCTCCTGGAAACTTGAGTTTACTGCGGAACACCACATCACCAGAAACAACAACATATGGAAGTTGGACAAACTCCACATGTTTCACAAGTTGAGGTAACTCCTTGTTGACAAGTGGTGAAACCGAGCTGGAGAGGAATGGGCAGAGATCGCCAGAGATGAAGAGAAAAAACATGACTTTTCCACAGCTGATTTATCCAATCACTTGCCAGCATAGTGAACCCTGGAATGTTGAGCACCCCCAAATTACAAATAGAAATGTACGGGTCCCCAGCACATGAAAACTGATGCTAACTTGTATAACTTAAGTTGTGTTAACTGAAATGAATGGGCATGTGGACAATAGTTATAACATTTCTTGACCATTTTGGAGTGGTTCCAGGTTATTGAGGAAGCTGAATCCATATCTGCCATTTCCAGGAACAAAAAAGACAGTTTTAACTATCAAGTGGTCATATTTGTCTTCTATTTGTACTATTATTTCTCAAATAAATAAGCAATCTGTCAAATCCAAATGATCCAGTCCTCTAAATCTTCAAAATCGATCAAATATTCATCAAAATCAGCACAGAGGTACAAACGAAACAAATATTGTCATGTTCTGGTTAATACTGCCATTGATACTGCAACTGTCCTCAGCATCCTCAAAACCCCCAAATCACTCCCAAATGGTCCAAATCAGCCAAGCAATGTTGGTATTATATTCTATTTGTATTTACTTGCACTGTTATCTGTGTTATTGTGTTGCACTGTTGGAGGAGCCTGATACCTAAGATGTTCGTTGTCATAACTACACTGTAGCGATGTACAAATGACAATAAAAACCTTCAATTTTGAATCTGGAAATGTCATTTTCAGCTGTGTTATATTTCTGCTCCTTGAATCGGTTGCATGAACACAGTTAGCTGAAAATGACTGTCATACATCAGACTGGATGTTGCATTCAACAGACCTATTCACATTAGCAAAAGGTTAATAAATGCATGTTATGGTGTGTCATGTTGCATCCTCAAAACCCCCAAATCACTCCCAAATGGTCCAAATCAGCCAAGCAACTTTTGTTGCTATTGTCTGCATATGCTAATTAACTAAATGTAGCCTATGCTAATTGTGCAAGTTAGCATCCTGCAGTTTCAATATGCTGGGGACCCATACTATACATTTCTAACATAAACATATAAACATATATAGCACTGGTTCATTTCCTTGAAGGGAAGTCAACACAAAGTGAGGCAGAAACTGCATATGTATTTGGTTTTATTGAAGAAGAGAGATATGAATAGGTAGCCTGTTTTAAGGCACCTTACAAATGTACAACAAAAGCTCAACCATTTATTTATTCAGAATACAAAAATACACATCTCAGTGACTCCAAATCGTAATAAATAGTTAACCATGCATTCTAACCATAAAAAGGCACAGAAAACAGTCACTTAGTAGTCATACAAATGATCAACTACTTTACCAAAACTCATCCAGATAGTAATACAGGTGACAACTGTAACATTATATTCCAAATGTGAAAACACAATACACATCATGTCAGTTAACCTTAGGCAATAAATATGCAAATATTGTTTATACCTACATATATATTCTTAAAAATTAAAACTGTGCCATTGTAAACATAATGTAAACAAATGAAACTCACTTTTCTCCCATAGGAACCACGTCAAAAACCATATGTTCATCCCGTCTTCTTTTCTTTTAGATCCTTGCATGGGTTTCGTTTGGTTTTTCGGGAAAACCAGGCAGTTTTGCAGCATTATTTACAAACTACTGGAAAACACAGCGAGGGAGATTAAGAGGTGGCTACTTCAAGTCTGGGGCCAAAACACTTGAGATGGAGAGAAGCCCAGCAGACACTTTGGACAACAGAACAGCTGAGGAGCTGCAGCAGTGAGAGTGGATCAGTGACGAAGATTAAATGTGGATTTGAGGCCAGACTTAACGAGCACTGCAGGAACAAGGCAGCGTTTAGCAGATACTGCTCCATATAAAGCACATACTGAAACTTAAATAGAGTTTCTATAGCAAAAGGTCATAATCAATGATTTTGATATTCTAATGAATTAAAGGCAGAGTTTTGTCCACAAATGATCTTCAGTCAGGCTGCGGTGCGATAAAATACGGAAGAATATGTGTTAATCTGTCCATCTTTAGCTCAAATATCTTCTTTTAGGCAGGATTTGCATGAAAAATTGTATATTAGATTGGAATTGAACTGATTCCGTCATGCCAATGAGCAATATTGCAGAACATAACAAATACATAGCCTGACTAAATTGATTGTCGGCAGATAAACAGTAAATATTCAGTTTAGAGTCGCCCTCTGGTGGGATACTACCGTAGTTTCACTGTCATTTCTATTATTTTGAAGGATACTTTGATGAACGGTGAAAATGTGGCACTTTAAGTTAAACAAGTAAAGTTTTAAATAAATCCTTAACAGCAGACATATAACTCTTAGAGGACATAAAGGCAACTAATTATTCTCCAAAGGGGGAACTAGAGTTGAAATGATATAGTAAGTTGGCAATGGTAAATATACAATTGCTGATAAGTTATCCACTGTTGTAGTAGCCCAAACACACACAGATGCATTGTGGTACATATTACATGTGAACACAACAGTCATGTCTGCCATTCACTGACACAGTCCTACTTCAGTGTATCACCCTGGAAGCACAGAGGAGCAAAACTACAAACTAGTGAACCGCTGGAAGAATATTTGTGTGTGTGGAGTCCATAAGAAAAAGCAGTCTGTCTGCGGGCTTTAACTTTTTAAAATCTAAATCCCCAAACCTCGAGGATGTACAAAAAACTTTTGTTCCGCACTGAGAAACATGTTGGAAAGCTGCAGAGGCAGTATCAAAACAAGAGATCAAATATTGCACCATCATAAGAATACAACAGCATCAAGAGATCAGAACAACGTACACAATCGTTATGGTGTAATATACACAATCAAATGTGTAAGCTGTTGACAATGCATGCCATGTCAGCAAAATCTACAAATGCATTATTAGACTACAACACTTACAAACATTGTTTGCATACACTGGCATACTGTATATACAGTGCATATATGTATATACACAACTTAGCATCACATATAGAAATATACCCTGTAATGCCACCAGTCTTAGAAGAAACTAAAATAAGTGTTTTCTAACAACTTGTAAATAGAAGAAGAAAAAAAAAGCTGCACTTGAACAACGCTATGCAGGCTGCAGATCAACTGCTCTATTTAAAAGCTGTCCTCGTTAAATACTGTGTTCAGTTCAAAAGTTCAGGTGAACCCTTAACGCTATGTAATGATATGAGTGTTTGCACTTGCACAAAGCAAGACGTTAAAAGTGCCTTTTTAAGAGTTCCTTTAAAAATAACCCTACAGCTAATAAGATGAATTTCCTCTCCTGACTAATTAGCATTTTAATCTCGCCTTAAATGGAATTAAAACGAATTGCTTATTAAATTAAGAGCGCAAACAAAGTGATCAGATGTTTTCTTCTTCCACACTTTGGTACTGATATCCACTAAGAACGTGTCACCGTACAGATATTAAACTCCATATACCCAACCCAGTCTCACGGCATTTCGTGTTAGAGTCACGACGTTTAATCTATTGATTCGTGTTCACCAACACGATTTCCCCCTTGTTTTCGTGTCACACAGAACGATTTTAAAAGCAATGTATTTCTATTGGTAGCCTGCAGCACGTCTTTTTGTCCATTCGGGTCTTGGAAGACCGGAAGCTGTTGGGTTCATAAAAACATGTTCTTCCTCAATATCAAGCCACGATTATTGTTTTTATTTTAAATCGTATAATGTCAGACTTCTTTTGTCGTCTGAGAGGAAAATAAATGGCTCAGAGCCTCAGAATACTGAAATCTGTATTTGTTTCCTTCCAATTTGTTATTCTTTTCTAAATAACACACCGTTATTTACTCACCAATAACACACAATTATCCTTGTTTTTATTTATTTGTTTAATTCCATAATCTCGTGCTTTTTTGGCGTCCGTCAGGAACTGAATTTCAAAATAAAAATAACCGGAAACAGACATAGGCCTATAAGGGACATTTCGAGCATCATTGCGATACACAGCCACTGAACTGATTACCCAAGATCCTCAGCTGTTGTTTAAGCTTGCTGATTGGATGTTTTAGCCGCAATGCATGTAGGGATATGGTGTTAATGCGATATGAAATCCGAAAAACATTTCTGAGTTTAGGATGGCCGAAGACACTACACTACCCATAATCCCCAGCTATCGTTTAGGACTACTGTCCCCGTGATTAATCTTCAAGCTCTGTGATTGGATGTTGGAGTGGCAGTGCGCCAAGGTTACGCCGAGCGTCAAACAGCTGTTTGAAATGGAACGAAACCACGGCAGACTATCCAAAACTGGAATCGAACGGGACCAGCAGGTTCTGATTAATGATATAACATATAAACAACCCTTAAATCAGACTTTAGTTACACCTGAGTACAATTCAGGGAAGGTGATTGTCAAGTGCCAACAATCAGGAGAGGTATTTGATAGTTGGTGCTCGAGAAGACTAAACATGTATCTGCAGATCTCTATCAAGTATATTCATTTCTCGTTATTTTCTAATAGTTAATTAAAAACTGTATAATGGCTATTTTGCACATCCCTTTCAAGATTTCCAAAGGTTAATGACATATCATATACACAATTAACGGTGTAGTTATGCAATGAATGAAAAACTTGGGTCGCCGGTTCCTCAACAGTGCATTACAAGACATCTATCAATATAATATATAATAATCGTGGCTTGATATTGAGTCAGAACCATAGACTGTATATATATAAAGAACATGTTTTTATGAACCCCACAGCTTCCGGTCTTCCAAGACCCGACCGGACAGAAAGACGTGGTGCAGGCACGAAACAGAAATACATCGCTTTTAAAATCGTTCTGTGTGACACGGAAAAAAGGGGGAAATCGTGAAGGTGAACACGAATCAATAGATTAAATGTCGTGACTATAACACGAAATGCCGTGAGACTGGGTTGATATACCTCAACAGCTTTTTAAAAAACCTATTATGACTTCTACCAATAAAGCACGTTTTACACTAAATGGCTGAAAGTATGGCACGAGTCTTTGACACATCATCATCATGCAAACGAAATAAATTAAAGCTAGAAAAGAAAGATTGAGGACCGAACTAAGGATGCTTTCAGTAGTAACAAATGGCATCGTAATACTTAAGTCATGTAAAACTTGTTCAAGTGTTATTCTGCACACAAAATAATCAAGTCACTAATCATGCAGTTAAACATATCTAAGGTTGAGCATGCGACAGTTTCCCACTGTTTTAATCCAGAGACTGATGTTCCCACGTTGCTGTCGTGCTAATGAAACCCAAACTCCACGTCTACAAACTGAAACTAAAGCCACACTCATGGAAGTCCTGGTTCTGCTACTATTTGTAATTACAACTCAGCTGTCAGTATGGATACTTGCATACCTGATTGTGTGCTATGAATGGTTATTAACTTAGAAATGGCTTCTTTTTGTTGTTGTGAAGATCCATGACGTCCTTTTCTTGTTTCCACCCCCTCTCTCAATTTGGCACCAAACTGTTTCTGGATGACAACATTTCAAAGGCTTTTTTCTGCAGAGGGATCAAATCCAGCTCTCTTTAAGGCCTTTTTTCTCCTTCCCTGCCCACGGTGCTGCCGACAAACTCTTCCACTGTGAGGGGAATCTTTAAGCCCCGCCCCTTCTCTCCGGTAGCGTCTGCTTCCGGGTTAAAGGTCAACCATGGAGGCCTTGGCCAGGTCCTTAGTTCCCTGGAGAATTCTCTTCATATGACCCACTTTCGATATCCCCAGATCCTGAGGAGAAAGAAAGGAGACACACAGATTAGAAACACAAAGAGACAAGTCTATCTCGAGTCAGGTGACCAAACACCGGCATAAAGGGCGACTTTATTTGCTTCAAGCTGAAATATCTCAACAACTACTGGAGGTGTTGGAGGTTTCCAGAGATACAGAGCAATATAGCAATATAATCAGGCAACCTGTTAGAGCCAGTATTTGTTTTTTATAAAAAAAGGCCACCTAATCGTGACGTCTGTAGTCAACACAGTATAAAAGACTACAATTCCCAACAGGCCTCCTCTAGAGACAGGAGGCTTGTTTGAGACGCGTTGCGGCTCGCCTCGAAAGTAGACGAGAATAGCCGATCGCAGCCGAGGGAGGTCTCAAAAAGCTCGCCTGAAGTCGGACAGCTCCGAGTCGGCTTCTTCTTCTTCTCTCGGTTTTTTGGCGGATTGCAAACAACTTTAAGGTGCATACCGCCACCTCCGGAGTCGGCTTGACTCGGTTTGCATTTATAAAGAATGTGTTTAATCGTTAATGTCAGATATGTACTAAGTAAATACATTTGTTCCTGCTCCAGATTAGATTCAACTTTATTGTTATTGCACAGATTACAGGTACTGAGACAACGAAATGCAGTTTAGCTTCTAACCAGGTGCAACAAGCAGTAGTGAAAAGTAATGTACACAATCTACAGAATAAAATATAGAATGAATTGAATCATGAATAAACAGTGAGGGGTATGAATATACTAGATACACACAGCAGCCTGAGAGCAGTATGAACAGTGTGTATGAATATGCTAAGATATATAAAGTATGAAAACGGTAAGCAGTGCAAGTATAGTATAATATATATAGATATTAATTTCATGATGATAAATATTGTGGAACAATGATGAAAAATGTGAATGGAAGTGGCGACGTAAAACTGACACAAAACAACAACAAACTTTTGCCGAGCCAATTGGAGAGTTTCATCAGCAGCACGGGGTAAAAACCACCAATGAGCGCTCAGCTCGAGATACCAGCGAGTCGTTTCCCATCAAGCATTTCGCTTCCGCAGCCCGTGGAGAGGAACTGCGCCGCCTCGCCGCGCCTCGCTCTCAAGGCTGCGGGCGTCTTTGTCCCGCGAGATTTCAACGTCTCATGTAGGCGAGCCTCCAGAGCAAGTCGGACAAAATGACTAACCATCATGCAACCATGGATGTATAATAAGAACTGGATACAGCGTGGGAGGCGGGGCCTCATTCATTCCTATGAGAGTTGCACATTAGCGCATGATGACAAAATGGCCCAACTTTTGAGAGAGCGAAACTTCACAGATTACCCGGCATGCCTGAGAAGTACCCGTATGTGCACTCATAGAGCATGCGCAACTTTAAGCACGTGAATTTGCGTACACGTTACAGCACCGCGCGTTCATGACAGCATGGTACTGGATTTATATTAACGAGGCGGCAGCTAGCAGCTAGCGGCTAGCTAGTAAATTATGCTAAATTACACATCAATCGTTATGTACTTTTATATTACGCTGACATCAGGATCTAGTGATATCCAAGCAACAGAGCTTCATGTAGCATGATACTTGTGTGGGTTGTACATGAAACCACTTGGTAATATATAAAAATGTATATGTTGAAGCCTGTTATGATCAATTGTGAGTTAAAACTGTATCTAAAAAGTAAAGCTGATGATGGATTACTATGGTGGAGTTAAAATAACAATAGCCTATTTCTTTTTGAAATGTGATGGAGTAAAAGGATAGTAACTGTGATTATTCATGTTAAGTAGCCCACAAGTAACTTCAACAATTGCAAGTGCAATAAGAAGCTACAGGAACGTTAATCTACGTCGGTAATATTAACTTTATTTAATACAACATTTACCGTACAAGATTTACATCATAGCCCATTTAGTATAATATTTTACAAATGATGAATTACAGCAAACATGTGCAATATATCCATTATTACAGCTCCGTGGGCAGTAAGGCGATATGGTCCGTTGTTATTGTGCATCCATGGGTAAAGACTAAGAGAAACATGAACGTGCCGGGCGGCGCGGTCCCGTGGGTTAGATGCGCGTTCATAATGCCGAGGGAAATAACTCTCAGAATAACGTTATTAGCACATTTTTACAACTTGAGGAACGAATGTTTTTAATAAGGGCTATACAAACGTTCATACTGGGTAGTTTATTTAGTTTAAAAAAAATTATCCAACGAGTTACAGACCACTCTTTCCCAATGTAAGTCAATGGGAAAAAGTGTTTCCGGGCCCAGCAACCTAAAGGAAGTGTAGTACCGCCGTTTGACCAGCACGAATATTTTCATCCTACTCCGGCGCACTTCCTGGGGGCTTGGCATGCAATGCACTAGCAAGACGTTGATCGCAACTGCGCAGGTCTGCGCGTCTGCGCAGGTCTCGCTTGTCTCAAACAAACCTAGAGACAGAGAGGCGAAGTCCCTCCCCTTCCGGTGGAGCTCCATGGGACTTTATTTCGGAAAAAGTATGTATTGAAGTCAATGGAGAGAGAAAGATTATCTTTCGATCCCGTTTGAATTGTGCCACAAATTACTCATATGATGTTTGTCAATTTAAAAGATAATTCAAGTAAACAAAATTAAAATGTGTCGTAAAACTGTGAAGTAACACTTTTTTGTGTGTGAAACCGCTCAATGAACTACATCTCCCGTCTCGCACCACACACCAAGACGGCCGTCACGTTGGCACATCTCACTTCTTTCTTTCAGAATGAGGCGGAAAGTATTAAGAGGTGGAAATCACTCCAAGTCTGGGCACGTTGAGAGCTGTGCACACACACAAGGGGAGTTAGTCGGTTCCGTGAGAGCCAGCATGCGGGACCGGCTTTACTAGGTTTCAGTGAGTAACACGAGTGTAATGTGTAACGTTAATGACATCACTTACACGACTCTGGGATTTGTAGTCTTTCTAGTTGCGTATTTTTCATAGTCTAATATTTCAACAGTTTTACGACAAACTGTGACTTTTTTTACATGGAAATTATTTTTTAAGATTGACAAACATCATATGTGTAATTCGTGGCACAATTCAAACGGGATCGAAAGATAGTCTTTCTCTCTCCATTGACTTCAATACATCATTTTTCCGAAATAAGGTCCCATGGGTCGGAAGTAGAAGGGCGGGACTTCGCCTCTCTACGGGCAACCTGTCGGAAAGACGCCGTCGAGGCAGTTTTTAACCGTTAAGATGCCATTAAAGTTATACAAGCCTAAAGAAACAAAGACTACCTAAGTTGTTTATTATTTTATTTGAGTTTTGCCTCTTTTGTAAGGCCTGTTTTCTTTGTTGAATGTGTTAAAGGTTTGTTCTTTTATTTTGAGTAAACGCAAACACAATATCAACGCACAACCACTTGCTTTCTCTTTGTTATCGGTTGAAAGCACTCAGAAAAACGTGCAACCCAAAATAAATACATTTTGATCGAGCAAACAGCGCTGGATTCATTTTTGGGGGATCTCTGAAAAGGTGACAGCGGCAGGACGGGTGATAGTATCCGTTAAATGTGTGGTGAGACACACACTTCAGCAAACTCTAATTATCTTTTTGTTCTTGCAATTCCTTTCTACATTTCGAATCACTTTTGACTTGCTTATAATTCAAATTGTATTTACCAGCCAATTAGAAAACATGTCCAGTGATTAGCTGAGTTTGTGTCTTCGGGGAAATGGATGTGATCGGTGAGTGACGTTCAAAACAACCAAAGCGACATCCCTGTTTGATTACTGTTGAATGAATTATCAAAACATTACTTCTGAAAGAACAAACCTGCCGTTGCTGCTTCCTTTGTTACAGCAGGAGAGATCAAATGAGTCAATGTGTGCATGCTTGTTTTTCAGTGTGAAGACAAATGAGTCATTTCAATCTCCATGAGATGCTGATCCAGTTCTTTCTACATCCAGGACACGGTCAAACCAAACACTCCAGCATGTGCACTTGAATCTGTATCGGCCAATCGGCTCGCTGCTCCTTCACTGAGAGGTGGACCCAGGTACCACCTTAACTAAAACACACCTGTTTGCTATCCTGGCCCCATGGTGGAACAAGAAACGTCCTATCGATGTCAAGAAGGCGAAAAGTCTACATATCTTCCATTGAAGACTGAACACACCGTACCTTGTTGTATCGCTTGACATCAAGGTGCATCTTTTCTTGACCAGATCTGGTTTGAATGTTCATAAAACATACTGTAGTGTAAATCATCACCTTTTAAGAAAAAACTTCATTCCAACTCATTATTACAAGTTATAATCAGAATACTTGGAATGTTTAATCAACTTTACACAAAATTAAATCTTATGTTTGAGTTAAAAAAAATGCAAAAAAGTTGAATATGTTTTACTAAAGTTGAGATCAGAGGATAACCACAACAATCATAGACTGGTATAAGTCAGATATTCATTGGAAATGTACCTTTTGAAGACGAGAGATGCTTTACTTTTGAATAAAACATCCATAGTTCAATGTAATTACTATCATTCATTTTTTCTTGCGAACGTACACAACCATTCATATTATTCTGGTGACAGTTAGATGACATAACCCTTTATCAGACATAAAAAAACATTTAAAAAAGGGACACATTTGAGCCAAGGACAACAAGGTTAACACGCAAAAAAAGACAGAGACCTAATGCACGTAATCACCAGCACTTTTAAGGAATTTGAAATATATACCTGCATTCCTCTGAGTTTAGTATCTGTATGGTTGATTGCACTTTGAACGTCTCTTTGGATAAAAGCATCAGCTAAATGAAATGTGTTAGCCTCTATAAATATCTCAGCTACACTTCCTGCCTGACTTTGCACTTCCTGTCCTGCGAAACCAGCCTCAGTTTGGACCCCCCCCCCCACACACACACACACACACTTATCCCATCCCAGTTAGTGTTAGTGGGTTACAGCGACTTTTTCACCAAGCAACGTCAGACAGTAGCAGCCAAGCAAGAGCAATGCAGCGAGGAGGCAGAACAGGGAGACATCTAGAAGAGCGTCAGAAGAACAGAGGACAGGGAGGAAGGTGTGTGTGTGTGTGTGTGTGTGTGTGTGTGTGTGGGTGTGTACCTTCAGGTCCCTCCTCTCCAGGTGCAGCAGCTCCGAGCCGCGGATGTCGTGTCGGATGAAGGTGTCTCTGTACTCCCCGAGACTCAGCTGCTCCAACCAGACCCCCACCTCCTCTGGACCCCACCTCTCCACTACACACACACACACACACACACACACACACACGCACAAACGGGGCAGAGCAGAGAGAGGCTCAGGGCGCCTCGTTGGTATCCACACACTCCCACACTTCATCCATTCTCTCGTACAGCACTTTATGTGGATATGTCAACACACACACACACACACACACACACACACACAGATGGACACAATGTGTGGTGGATCATCGAAAGGGAAAGATGGAAGAATAAAAAATGGAGGGAAAGCGCCAGAGAGGAAGGGAAAAGGGCGGCAGCTGGGAGGAGTCTGACAAAAGGTCAAAGGTTGAGCAGAACAAGGCATGCACATCACCGACCAATGAGAACACACAGAAAATAGTAGGAGGAAAAGACAGCCTGTGCAAAAATACTGCAGGAAAAACAGCCAAATAACCAGCCCGCACTGAAAGGACCTGCACTGACCTTTGAACCTTTCTATGTATACAAACATTTACCCAGTAAGTGCAGCAACATCAACTTAGTGTTTGGTCATCTGGATATATGGAACTGACTTGTTTACTCTTTAAATGTTCAAATGCAACCAAAAAGTGTTGATCTCCGGCTGGTTTGTGTTCAAATTCATCGACATATTTCAACATGTCCTTCGACCCCTGCAGGTGCAGCCTTGTTCTGCTCTGACTTTACGCCTTTTGAAGCCATGAAGATGAGAGCATGAATGGAGGGGAGGTGATGGTGAGGGTCACACTGTGTGACATAACACCTGAAACACACCCCATCTTTGTTTTTCTACCAGTGGAGTACATACATAATAACTTGATGCATGGAGTGTGTGTTGATGATGGAGGGAACCTGTTGGAGTAAAGCTTTGTGCGTGTGTGTGTGTGTGTGTGTGTGTGTGTGTGTGTGTGTGTGTGTGTGTGTGTGTGTGTGTGTGTGTGAGTGTGTGTGTGTGTGTCCTTCTCATGAAGTAGGTAGAGCTTTTTAGTATCAATAACTGAACAGAGGATGGTAGCACTTCCAGATAATCGTCTCACGAGGTGCTCGGGTAAAAGGGCTAATGCTAAAGTGTAAGCATACTCTGTTAAAAGTCCTGCATTCAAAAGTATCAGAATCAATATCTGTACTGAAACAGCCTCTTCAGAATATCGCATTGCAATCATGTGATGCCTTAATATGTATAGCAGGATTTAGTTACTGAAATATTGAGTGTGATTACAAGTTTAACATGATTGTTGTAGCTGCTCAGCCAAAGGACCCGAAACAAAACCAATACTATGAATCCTAATCAAAGATAAATACAATTTTGCTTTGCCTCCGTAGAAAGTTATTTGAGTTTCCCCTTAGTCACTCAGTGGATTCTGATTGAACACCTTCCAAGTAAAATATAAAGGGGTTAACATTTGTGTGGCATAAAATCATTTTGAATTGAATGTTAAGGGCTGCAGGATTTGGAAGAAAAAATATTGCGATTTGAATACATGATGAATTGAGCAGCACTAGTTGTGTCACTGTGACCTGCCAACTATGCAACTGAAACAACCCTTACATGGAAACGGATACAATACAAAAAAACGTCATGTTCCTCCTCTGGAGCGAGAGGGAAACTACTTTAGAAAAGTTCAGGGAGTTACAATCGGAGACGGCAGATTGAGCAGAGTCTGTCCAGAGATAGCAAAAGTACACACATCCTTTACTCAAGTAGAAGTACAGATACTCGTGTTTAAAAATACTCTGGTAAAAGTAGAAGTACTGACCAAACTTCTTTACTCAAGTACAGTGGCGAGCTGTGATTTTTATACCACTTCCCTCGAAAAAAAAAAAAAAGAGTAATTACGTCACAGCGTATACTTCAACGGAATATCGAAACAACGGCCCGGGGTGCAAAACGCATCAATGACAGCGAGGGTCGCTGTCATTGATGCGTTTTGCTCTACCACACAAAACAATACCTGTAAATAACCCAATTTGTGTTCTTTGAAATTGAAAAGGATATTGCATTGTGTTTGTTACTTTCGTTGCAGTTGTATGTCTTAAGTGTAATTTGGCATGCTTTTATTTTGAAGGCGAGTTTACGCTGTTGACAGGAAGTTGTTGTTGCTATGGAAACAAGAAAAGCTTCACAGCGGGCGGAACTTGTCATAAAGTCCACGATAATAAAAAAAAAACACTCATTTAGAGGAAAGATATGATTGGTCAATTGTACTGTCATTTGACATTACTCTCTCGTTCAGTTACTATAGCGGGCCCTCTGTGAATTCACAGCAGGACCACCAATCAGCTTCTCTCTTCACCTCAGAGACGAGCTTCTTTCTCGTCTCTTTCAGATTCGAAGTTATTTTGGTAAAACTAATGAAAAATATAACAAACGTTTTTTTTTTTTTAAATATTAAAAAAAAAAAAAAAAGTGTAGAATGTCCCTCAGAGAGGGCCTAGAGGGCCCTGACGGCTCGCCACTGCTCAAATAAAAGTAAAGAAGTATGGGCTTTGAAATGTACTTCAGTAAAAAGTACCCATAACTAGCAGCTGTTTTAAAGAGTACCTGACCTCCCTTTATATTAATAGAACAATAATGTCATTGTTAGCTAATGAATGTTTCCATGCTGAACAACGGCAACATGACAACGTTTCCATTGGTCCCTCTTCTTTAGAGAAGACCAGGAAATGATGGATACACGGATCGTGTTCAAATCAATAGGCACGCAATGACTCTAAAGAATAATGATCACGCATCAAACACACATTCAGACTAAAGGAACCAGCTGTTTGGAAAATGTGAGAAGTAGAAAGTACAGGTATTTGTGTTCAACATGTAAGAAGTAGAAAGTACAGGTATTTGAGTTCAACATGTAAGAAGTAGAAAGTAAAAAGTCGTCAGTAAAATAAGTAGTGGAGTAAAGTACTGATAACAGAAACATGTACTTAAGTACAGTAACGCAGTATTTGTACTCCACTACTTCCCACCTCTGGATCTCTCCCCCTACCTGACTGAGGACTGGTCTTCTTGGCCGCCTTCTCCTTCTTGAACTTGGGCACGATGCGGAACATGCTGCTGCGACTGTTCCTCTTTCCGTAACCCAGAGAGTGATCCTGGTACATAAGCACAGTCAACCTATAGCCTTTCATTTAGCTACTCAGCTCTGCCGTCATCTGGAGCCACATTACACTGAATACATCGTGTGTGTGTGTGTGTGTGTGTGTGTGTATGTGTGTGTGTGTGTGTGTGTGTGTGTGTGTGTGTGTGTGTGTGTGTGTGTGTGTGTGTGTGTGTGTGTGTGTGATACTGATACTATCTGACACTTTACCTCAGCCACAATGCAGACTCTATGCATTACATTAAAGGTCCCCTATTATACTGTTTTTCATCAATGTATCACAGGTCTCAGATGTATACAGAGCCTGTCTCTGATTGGCTGAAACACCAAACAGATCATTGCAGCATTACCCATAATCCCCTCTGTTTCAGCCCTGTTTCCAAAGAGCTGATTCTCTGTCTGTTACTTTAGATGAAAACAAGGAGCCCCTCCCCCACGCCCCTCTGAGAGACATTTGGTTACAAAGAACTCAATGGTGCTCTAGAGGAGATTCAGGTGATAAGGGGGGGGGGGGGTTACCTTGGTTGCTGATTGGCTAATGGTTACACAAGCCAACAAATTGTTGCACTGAACTGTCACTTTTATTCATGTACCGTGTTATTCATGTTTTATTATCTTTGCTTTGAAATTAGTGTTTCTAAATGCAATTTTATAATATGCTCTTAATGTATTTCATTTTTGTAAAACACTTTGAATTGCCTTGTGTTGAATGGTGCTATATAAATAAACTGGCCTTGCATGTGTGTGTGTGTGTGTGTGTGTGTGTGTGTGTGTGTGTGTGTGTGTGTGTGTGTGTGTGTGTGTGTGTGTGTGTGTGTGTGTGTGTGTGTGTGTGTGTGTGTGTGTGTGTGTGTGTGTGTGTGTGTGTGTGTGTGTGTGTGTGTGTGTGTGTGTGTGTGTGTGTGTGTTGCTCACCTCTTCGTCATTGGGCTGCAGGATGTGGTAGAGCCAGGGTATTTCTCCCAGTTTTCCCAGTTCCAGCTCAACACTCTGCAGAGCCGTGGACAGCTGGTCCTCCTCAGGCTGCTCCAACTGCTGCAAGGAGGCAAGGAGACAAGTCAATAAGGCAACAAGTCAACAAGGCAATAAGGCAACATCATGATCTACATGCAGCTAACTGTCAGAATAACTAAACAGCAAGGTTCAAAAGTGTTGGGAAAATACTGAATGTACTCTTCCAATATGAGAGTAACATGACTACATGTATGCGATGACTACTTCCATTCTGGAGAGGATCACAGATACATGGATCCTGATATTGAAGCTGGTGACGAGGGAGATCTTTCTAACAAAAAGCGTCACATATTTCTCTTAAAACATGCTCTAATTTGTTATAATAATATATTAATAATGATTTCTCACCAGAGAGACGCGTCCCAGCAGCAGAGACTCGGTCTCGTTGTACAGAGCCTTCACGGTGCTCGCCACCTCTATCGCCGTGTTCCTGGTCAGACTCTGGAAACGAGAAAAAACAGTTATTTAGTATAACCTCACACAGCGTACAACAAACACATCGGAGCAAGCATCGTAGATAGATAGATAGATAGATATATAGATAGATAGATAGATAGATAGATAGATAGATAGATAGATAGATAGATAGATAGATAGATAGATAGATAGATAGATAGATAGATAGATAGATAGATAGATAGATAGATAGATAGATAGATAGATAGATAGATAGATAGATAGATAGATAGATAGATATATAGATAGATAGATATATAGATAGACAGATAGATAGATAGATAGATAGATAGATAGATAGATAGATAGATAGATGGACAGATAGATAGACAATAATAATAATAATAATAATGGATCACATTTTTTAAGGTAGGTAGGTAGGTAGGTAGGTAGGTAGGTAGGTAGGTAGGTATGTAGGTAGGTAGGTAGGTAGGTAGGTAGGTAGGTAGGTAGGTAGGTAGGTAGGTAGGTAGGTAGGTAGCTAGGTAGGTAGGTAGGTAGGTAGGTAGGTAGGTAGGTAGGTAGGTAGCTAGCTAGCTAGCAAGCAGTTTGTTAGGATTATTCTGTAACACCATACATAAAAGGAAGATATTGATGTTCTCAAATATTTCAACCAAAATTGCGTTTAAATTTAAACTACAGCTTCTGTGAACACAGCTTTAACTGGTTTAGGTTTAAACTTCTACTCTACAATGTAGATAAATGACACAGCAACTGTCTGAAGCTCCGTATATAATGAACCTAGAACCACTGCATGATTAAGGCTGTGCTTCTTCACTGGTCTCACGATTACGATTATCCTGTCAACGATTCGATATCATCGTGATGAATCATGCTTCCCGTTGAGTTCATAAAATCCATAATGTGGCAGAGGTCCGCTTGGGAATGCACTTTAATGTTTATGTGCCTTGTTATAATGTATTGATACAATTGTTCAGTAAAGTCCAGCCGCGAACGAAAAAATCAAGAAGCAACGTTATTACACTATAATCGATTATGTTCTGTCACTGCATCGATGCAGAATCGTCCGCATCGCGATGCATCTTGAAAACGATTAATTTCAACACCCCTATACATGATGTGTGTGTGTGTGGGTGTGTGTGTGTGTGTGTTAGTGTGTATGACTTACCTCTGGGAACTTGGGGTGTGTCTTGTTGATGGCGTGCGAAGAGGCGTTAACAGCATGAGCCAGCTCCTGCTCCAACAGCCCGTTGGTCTTCGCTGCCTCACAGATCCTGAGGTCACACAGAGGTCACACAGAGGTCACACAGAGCACATGGGATTAATATCTGACTGATGGTGCAGCACTACTGTCCAGTGAGAGCTGACGTTAAAGGTCTCCTATCGTGCTATTTTTACCACAAACCACATGAAGGATTCTCTCTGAAACAGTCTGGAGCTCAAAGGCTTTCTCTCTTGCCGGTTATACCACGAGGTGAGTTCCTTTTTACTTCCTGCTTCTTCACACACATGCTCTCCAGCACAGGTTAGCTCTGAGTGTTAGCATGCTAATGTAAAC